AAAAAAAAAAAAAATGCCGGGGGGGGGGGGAATCTACTGCTGTAATTTGGAAAGTCTACTAGGCATGTATTTTCGAATAAAACGAAAATCATTTCCTTGAGATTTTTTCCCCAGCTCTCAGCTCATCTATCAGGCTATTTTATTGGATCATAGTAGTAATAAAAGTTTGATCGGTTTGGATCGTTAGTATTTGGTTTAAATTACACCATAAAGGTTATGAGTGGTAGGGCATCTTGACAATGTCAAGATATTTAAAGTTTGAACTCATCGTACGAATGATGAACTATATGAAAATAGTAAAATGCCATATATTTACTCCTGGATGACTCTCAATAATTCTGTTTGTTTACTGTATACCTAATAGATGGTGTGGAAAACAAAAACATCGTTAGTCACATATTTTAGCTATACATTTTATTCAAACGATATCATTTAAATTTAATGACTGTATATATTATACATGTTGAACACAATATATCGTTAGTCACATATTTTCACTAAACTTTTTATTGAAACATAGAAAATATGTGACGATATACAATATAATATATAATTTATAGATTCGTGGGGTTACAATTTCAATTCAGTTTCAATTATTGTTTTAGTTTGTAACTCAGGTCCCAATTTGTTTACGAACAACTTGGCTCTTTAGGTTACAAACTATGGAGAAAAGCAACCTTGAGAATCAAACACATATTGTGTCTGGAAGGTAGGGGTAGTATCTGGGAAAGAGAACACATCTTCGAATGTAAACTCCATAGATCCAATTGACCAATTAGGATCATGTTCATCTACATCATCATCGATATCATCACCATCATCATCATATTCTTCTAGTTCCGAAACCAAGACAAACACACCAGATAGTATAAAACCCAAACTTAATCAAATTTCAGAAACCAAGACAAACACGCCAGATAGTATAAAACCCAAACGTAATCAAATTTCAGAAACCAAGACAAACACGCCAGATAGTATAAAACCCAAACGTAATCAAATTTCAGAAACCAAGACAAACACGCCAGATAGTATAAAACCCAAACGTAATCAAATTTCAGAAACCAAGACAAACACGCCAGATAGTATAAAACCCAAACGTAATCAAATTTCAGAAACCAAGACAAACACGCCAGATAGTATAAAACCCAAACGTAATCAAATTTCAGAAACCAAGACAAACACGCCAGATAGTATAAAACCCAAACGTAATCAAATTTCAGAAACCAAGACAAACACGCCAGATAGTATAAAACCCAAACGTAATCAAATTTCAGAAACCAAGACAAACACACCAGATAGTATAAAACCCAAACGTAATCAAATTTCAGAAACCAAGACAAACACGCCAGATAGTATAAAACCCAAACGTAATCAAATTTCGGAAATCAACCCAAACTTAATCAAATTTCAGAAAATAATTGGATCATATTAAATGTTGGGAAAATGTTCGGTACCTCAAAAGATACCGTATCAAAAGACAATGGAGGACTGTTAGCAAACTTAGTCCCATCCGGTTGGAGAAATATTATAACTTTTTATGAAACAATAATAATATAAAATAAGTTACTTAAAGATGCAAAACTCTTATATCCTAAATTAAGATTAAGATAATAAAATTTAAGTATATATAATATAATAACAAATTAATATAATTAATAATTTAATTCCAGAAGTGTAAATTATAAGAAACTAAATACAGATATTTAGAGAAGCTGAGAAGATACCTGTTTGATTTGGTTTACAAAAAAAAGTATTGTTGTTTATTTGCGTATTTTGATATCTCTCCAATTTCGTAGCATTTTAGGTTTGATGATGTGTGGGTCCTTATATTTATAAATTGATAACAAAATTCCATTCATCCAGACAGATTTTTGGGATTTATTACAGTGTGTATAGTTTGGGGCTACTCTCCCTTACGTAATATTGACATTTACATTTAGATTCTGATTTAATTTCAACACATAGAACTGAGCTTATTATGTGTAATAGAATATCTAGCCCTTTCCATGGTTTCTGTATGTTTGACTGGCGACCGATCTACCATCAAATTTGAGAACTACTGTATTGTGGACCTGTTACTTTTCAGTTTAGTTTCAGGATAGTTATAACCCGAGCCTATAAATGAATTATCCAGTAAACCGTTTGTACTGGTTACTAAATGAACATGCGCCCATTCGGTTACTTGGAACTTCACCTAGCCACAACTGTCTCAAAGACCTTATTATTAGTGTTTAAGAACATAAATCGGTTTGTGCCATATCAGAACTACCATAAACCGTTATAAGTTCCTGGATACCCGGTTCTCGTATAATACACATACCATTTTAAACATGATTTCTATCGTGATTCCAACTTCTTAATAGCAACCGTTCAGAAAGGGTATATTAATTCTAAATACGCTAGGCTTAATAAGTCCGTACGTGCCCACTGCAATTTGCGCGGTTCTTTATATAGGCTCTGGTGAGTCACGGACAACCAGTTGTCATTAAAAGGACATAATTTAATATAGTGACTGTGGAGGCGCTGAATGCTAATTGGCTGACTTTTCTACTTCGAAAAAACAAATGAATTTTAAGTAGGACACATAAACAATAATTACGTTCAATTAGTGTATTAAATAGATGAATTAGAAAAAAATCGAAGTAGAAGGTAAGTGACAGAGACGTGACATGCTGTTTCACGCTTAAATCGATTGGGGAAATTTGTTACTATGTATAGATTTTGACCGCGATCTTTTCCGTGATTATTTCACATAATAGTTTAGTGAAGGTCTCATTCTGCTGATGAGGAACCGTAACAGTAGCAAGGTGTATATAGGTGTACAATAATAAACAATATGAATTGGTATCAATACGATGCACGTATTTGATATTCCTCAAATCTTCATTCTTGAATGAGGTTATTAGAAAAATCAAAGCTATGTGTTCATCAAAGTCATTTGCAATAACCAATCTTTTGCTTTGAGAGCCTCAACCAGTCTGTGATCACTGCCATGTTCGCCATCTCAGACCACTGCGATCACAGCACTACCGTGCTGGATCACTGTTGTTCCAGCAATTTGTGCAACCTTCTCTTTACTTCTCCAAATATGTTATCAATTGAACATGTATTTTGGAACTGCGCCCTCGTCCCTTCCCACTGAAGCAAGATTTTGAAGTTTTCTTTGATGATAAATCCAAAATCTGGGACATCACTGGTGTTACATACGAAACTTTCCTGAAGATTGATGTTTGTGCCTAAACCATAATATTATAGTGCCTCAATGTCAACCATGGAAAGTTGAGTTGCACAGCAGCAGCTAATTTAGCGTTCCCCTCGTATATGAATGGCGATCGTTTCTCCCCTCGTATATGAATGACGATCGTTTCTCATGAATACGTCTTCACTGCTACTTCAGGTGGTTCAATAATTCCCTCATTACCAATTGACCAACATATGCCACATTGAATCATAATTTCACGTTCTGTTGAGTCCCGGGTTAGCGATGGCAGTGTGCAATAACAATAGACCTTGAGTGACAGATTTACTTGTTCTGGGCCCTTTATCTATAAGGAACTTCCATATATGGTCCCTTATCCAGCATTGTTCTATATTTAAACGACCGGCATTGAATTTGAAGTTATGTATGCAATTCCAGAATATATTCACTCGCAACTTTTAGCTTGTAAAATAGATCTTTCACATTTTGAATCAAGACATCTTTCTTGTTTTCTTAATGTTGCAACATTCATACGTCATATTCAAGAGACCGTTCATTCTGTTCCTTCAAGGATTTCCTGATTCCATTGTACCTTAAAGGTCACATTTATGATTTTCACCATCTCCGTGTAGTTACATACATATTTTTTTGTCTTCTTCAAAAAGCCCTTCTGAATACATATATGGCACCTTTGTGGGTTTTTTTATTACACCAAATTCAAATTGGCCACCATCCTCGGTGTTGCAACTACTATTTGTGTCAAAACAACAATTCCTACTACCAGTCAAACAACCTACAACGTCACATATAACCACTTCAGTAACTTCTCCTACTACCAGTCCCACAACATCTCCTATTTCCATCCCAACAAGCTCTCAAAATACTATTCCGGCAGCATCCCATAATACCGGTCCAATAACACCCACTACTACCATTCTGGACATGAGATGTTCGTGTAATTGTATCGTACCAACTTAGAGCACAGACAGTGACAGTCCAAGTCAGACCTTTGGTAGTTACAAAGACAAAAACATCTCAAATCTTCTAGTTTTGCTGCAGTCATCAGAAGGAATGCCAAAATAAAGACAGAACCATTAATTAGAAGCTTGTTGTATTGTGATTTCAAGGGCAACAAATTTACAAAATTGTCGAATATTGCCTACATATGGAAACAAATGTTAAACCAGTCCAAGTGGAACCGGTAGGACTTTGTATTTGCCTAGAACATCCCTTTCTTGCTGCTAGTACAGATGGAATTGTTAGATGTGGAACAACTTGTGAGAGGGGTTTGCTGGAGATCAAGCATGTTTTACTAAAAAAGAAGTTAACATTTCCCGAAGCTAGTAAATCTGTGACTGGATTCTGTCTTGGCAGATTTACAGTTGAAAACAAATCAAGGCCAGCTGAATAATTTTAGTTTTGATGGGGTACACTTTGTTGTCCGTTCAACTAGCCCCCACCAGCTTCATGTTGAAATACATTCTTACCCCGGTGCCCAAATCCATCACATACAGTCAATCCTGGAATCATACGACCATGATCCCAAACCTACTACCATTATTCTTCATGTAGGCCTCAACAACCGTGATCAGCTACCAAAGACCTCCTTTAACCAAGCCCAGATATTAATCGCCACAGCCAACAAAACCTTCCCAAACTCCAAGATCCTCTTCACATGTATACCCATTTCAAATAAAATCTCGAAGAAAGCATAACAGAACCTCAACACTCTCAACAACATGATGGATGGAGTCCAGTATCAACAGCGCAACAATCTTACCACCCTACGAAGAAGAATTCGAACCAGTTGATAATCTTCATTGGTCTCCAGAAACAGCAAACAGCATCTATTTGTTTTGGATACACCAGCTTCAAGCATCGAGTAAGTCTTTAAACTAATTACTGGGGATAAAAATACTGAGAGGCCACCGCTAGGCCAAACTGTAGTTAACTTGAGCCGCAAAATTCTCACACCCCATCAGCATTCAATCTTAGACCGTGGGCTTAAGTTTATTCCCACACCAAAGATAGCTAACTTGAATTATCTCCGACCATCCATTGAACGATTTCAACGAAATCTTACCTGCACATATTTTTTTCGAAACCACCCCCCACATGGTGCTAGAACAATGTTTATTCCTAAATCCACGTGGACACCCCCTCAGGCCGCCATCCATCCTGAAATATTGAAAGCATTTGCGAGTATGAATAGCCAAACAGTGAACCTTTCCATAACACACGAAAAGCCTAATCTCACACGAGTGGAACGTGAAGCGTTAAACTTACTTAAGAAAGACGTGACAAAGATTCATGTTGTGTCATTCTGAATAGGGAGGATTACGTTTCAGAAGCAGAGAATCACCTGAATAATCCTAAACATTATGCCATTTTACCGAAACCAATTTTCAAAGAAACTGCTAACATGATTAATAATATTCTTGCCGATTTAGTCAAAACTAGTTATCTCAAACAGAAACAATATGACTATCTGTCTGCCAAACCTGATTGTCGCGAGAGACATTTGTACACTTTGCCTAAAATCCATAAGAATCCAACCAAGGAGTGGTTTATCTCGAATAAAATCCCTTAAGGCCGCCCGATTATATCTGACTGTGGTAATGAGTCATATGCAGTGTCAGAATACATTGATCATTTCTTACTACCTCTAGCATGCCAACATCGCGCC